TCAACGTAGGCGCGAGAAACGTCGCGAGCACGTCGAAAGTTCCATTAGCATGTTTGCGGGGGGTCGCGCACCTCTAAGTGATGTTTTGTGCTCCTCCTCTTTATACATTTGAATCACTTTTTTTTTAAAATACATCAAGTTTCATCTTTACATGATTCATTTCCCCCCGCCAATGCTGGACAATGATTTATTTTATTTCTCCTTTACATATTTCTAAAAAATAATAATAATATTCTAAAATTAAGAATAAATTTTTTAATATTTTAATTCAATTTTTTTTTCTTTAAAATAAGAATATAACTAATTAGGATATATTTTTAAATTTGAATATATGTTCAATTTTTTGTAAGTAAAATAAATCAATTAAAAGGTGAAGAAAATGTCAAAACTCGTTTTGAAACATCTGAAAGATTCTTATTTCGAGGTTCTTAAGGGGTCATTATGGCTGCACGCTAGACTTCCGGGTCAAAAACCGGATGGCACACGCCAGACATGTATTTCATTATTTGATTCAATCTTTATTCTGAAATAAATCCACGCCCCATTTATACACTTCATTCAAGAAGTAGTATTAAATAAATAATTAAAGAAACAAATATTTTTAAAAGTATAAATTTTGTTTATAATAGTAAAATAAATTACAAATAAATTGTTTTTTAAATAAATGAAAAAAAAAATTTAAATTAGAATTTTAATTCCTGTATTAAGAGAACAATTTCCAGCTTTATGAATTAATTAAAAATAATTAATTTAATAGCAACACAAGTCAGTCACTGATTCAAATAGTAATATTTATTCTAATTACTTAGTTAAAAATAACTAAGATTTTTTAGTATACTGATTTTTAGCTAAATTCAATTTTTGGTTATGCCAGAATAATGAAAATTTCTGATAACTAATTGAATTAGTAAAATTTAATTAATATTTCAATTATTTCTTTTATTAAAAATTAGTTTTTTTTACTAATAATTAGGTTTCTTTTCACTAATAATTACTTATTTTTTACTAATTAATGAAAACAAAAATTAATTCACTACTCTCTAAATCTGAATTAGTAAAAATGTTTACTAATTTGAATTAGTGACTCACTTTTTGCTTTAGAATTAGTTAAATTTTACTAATTGTTAGTAAAAGTTACTTTTTTGCTTCTCAATTAGTAAAATTTTGCTAATTATTAGTAACTTTTACTAACAATTAGTAAAATTTAACTAATTCTAAAGCAAAAAGTGAGTCACTAATTTAAATTAGTAAACATTTTTACTAATTCACATTTAGAGAGTAATTTGAATTAGTGACTCACTTTTTGCTTTAGAATTAGTTAAATTTTACTAATTGTTATTAATTGTTACTAATAATTAGTAAAATTTCACTAATTCAGAAGCAAAAAGTGAGTCACTAATTCAAATTAGTAAACATTTTTACTAATTCAGATTTACAGAGTACCAATTAATCGAAATTAACTATTTAGATAATTTTTACTAATAATTAGTTATTTTTTTACTAATAATTATTTATTTTTTACTTGTAATTAAAAACAATTAGTCGAATTTACCTATTTTTTCAAATTCTTTTACTATTATTAATTAATTATTTTTTACTAATATTTATTTATTTTTTTTTAGTAGTAGTTAGTTACTTTTTACTAGTAGTTATTTTTTTTACTAATTGTTGAAATAAAAAGTCAGCCAAGATTTTACTAACCATTAGTTAAAATTCACTACTTTTTTAGTTATTTTTCTAGTAAAAATTAATTACTTTTTACTAATAATTATTGTTTCCTTTCTTGCTAATAATTAAGAACAATTAGTTGAATTTAACTATTTTATCAAACTATTTTTCTATTAAAAATTAGATGCTTTTTACTAGTATTTAGTTACATTTTTATAATAATAATAATTTATTTTTTACTAATAGTTAAGTTACTATTTACTAATAATTAGTTATTTTTTACTAATTATTGAAACAAAGAGTCAGCTAAGATTTCACCAACAATTATATTATTTTTAACTAATTCATATTTAGAGAAATAAATTAATTAAATTTGCCTAAAAAAAATAAATAAACACCAAAAAAATCAATAATTTTTAAATTTCTAGAGAGTATAGAAAAAAAAATCAAGTCTACTACCGATTTCTTGAGCTTTGACTCAGTGGATCGATGATTCGAATGCTTTTTCGACCGGAAATAACGATGGTAGATAAAGTGAAGCAGTATATCCTATCTGCGGAATCAAATCACCTAAAGGACTATCATGGGGCCGGAACCTCTCAACCTAACAATTTTTTTTAAATGATCCAAAGTCCATTTTCAGCTCATCGAAAAAGAAAGAGTAGTCGATCATAAAGAATTCATTTTTCTGCTGTATCATCACCCCTTTTTTTGTATATATATATAAATAAAAACCCTTTCCATTTTCCTATACCCAATATTTCTGCCATGTATATTAAATTTTCTCTACATACACTGAATAATCAAAAAAAAAAAAAATTTTTTTGCCATGTAATCGACAACCAAAAGGGAGTTTTAGGCGCGCAGTATCAAATTGGACAAAAGGAGTGGGGGGAGGGGTATTGAAGGTACCGCCATTTTATTTTACCCCCTGGTGTCGGACCACCCCTCGTTTCAAGGTATTGATAAAAAAAATACAAGCCCGCTATTGGTTCACTGGACCGTAGGGTGGGCACCCCCTTTTTATCGTTGCTGACCAAGCACGGGCATCCACTCCAATTTATACAATATATATATATATATATTGCCTCTGCGCCTTATTTGAGTATACTCTCTTCGTGTAGTTCTTTCAACATCTTTTGCGATTCTCGATTTTTTTCGCCCCCCCCCCTCTCATCATGCGCGGCTCAAATATCGATCACTTTTGTGCGGACCTTTGCGCGCTCTAATTAAGGAAAATAATTTACGGCTTTCGCGCGATACCTCATTGATTCGTATTACCCCGCGTGGAATACTCATTTTCATTAGAAATTGTTTTTTAATCCTTTCAGACTGCTATTTGAATTTATGCCCGTTAAAGGTGATATTAAAATGTTAATTATTGTAATGAAATTAGAGATCTCCAAGTGCCATTATCTTAATTACAATAAGGCATCGTCCCCTTTTTTTTGGAACATGTAGAAAAAAAGATTTATTTTTTGAGAAAAACTTGATTTTAAATATCAGGAAGTGTTTTTTTTTTATATTTTTCTTTTCTTTTTTTTTTTAATATCGGAAAATTATTTTTTGTTAAAACTGTATCTTAAGTTGTTTTGTTTCTTAGAAAAAAGAAAATTTTAATGCGCAACAAAAAATATTCTCAAAAGGGGTTTTCTTCTTAAAATAAGAATACTTTTAGTGAAACAGATGTTTCTTCTCAATTCCAGAGGAAACTGCTGAAAAGACAACTCGAAAATTTTAATTATTAAAAATTATTTCTTTATAAATAAAGATTTAATAATAAGGAAAATAGTTTTTAGAAAAATAAATGTTTCTTCTCAATTCAAGAGGAAACTGATGAAAAGACAACTTGTAAATTTTAATTATTAAAATTTATATTTACAATTTATTGCTATTATAATTTAATGTCTCTTATATTTTAAGTAAATAAATGAAAATTACATCAAATTCAAATCCTCTAAATATGAGAATAATTTTTTCAATGCTCCAGTAATAATTATCACCAACTCTAAATTTAAGAATATCTTCTTGGCGCCTATTTCGAAATATTTCTTATTTATTTTATTCTTAAAGGTAGAATAAAATATTCTGTAAATAAGAAATACTTCTTAAAAAAAGAAATAATTCTTAATTTAAAATTTTTTTTATTTTAAGAGTAATATATTCTAACTGCAAGAATAAAAACTTCTTAGGAACTTCAATGAATTTATATTAATAAAAAAAAGTTTCATCAAAATAGTAGAAATCTTCTGAAATTGAGAATATTCTTTAGTCGCTCCTCAATTCAGAAAAAAATTAAATTTATAATTATTTCTCATTGGAAATGAAAATATTATATTAAAAAATATGGTAATTTGGTAAATAATAAGAAAAAAATTGCGTCAAAATTGTAAAAATCCTCTAAAATTGAGAATATTCTTTAATTGCTTCTCAATTTAGAAAAAATGAAAAAAATAACTACCATAAACTGGTACTATAAAATATTATAGCAAATATGGTAAATAATAAGAAAAAAGTTGCGTCAAAATTGTAAAAATCCTCTAAAATTGAGAATATTCTTTAATTGCTTCTCAATTTAGAAAAAATGAAAAAAATAACTACCATAAACTGATACTATAAAATATTATAGCAAATATGGTAAATAATAAGAAAAAAGTTGCGTCAAAATTGTAAAAATCCTCTAAAATTGAGAATATTCTTTAATTGCTTCTCAATTTAGAAAAAATGAAAAAAATAACTACCATAAACTGTTACTATAAAATATTATAGTAAATATGGTAAATAATAAAAAAAAAGTTGCGTCAAAATTGTAAAAATCCTCTAAAATTAAGAATATTCTTTAATTGCTTCTCAATTTAGAAAAAATGAAAAAAAATAACTGTTTCCTATTGAAAATGAATACTGAAATAAACTAGTACCATACAAATATGGTAATATGGTTTATAATAAAGAAGAAATAGCTTCAAAATGGTAGAAATCCTTTAAAATTGAAAATAATTTTTCAATATCTTCTCAATTAAAAAAAAAATATAATTGTTTTCTATTGAAAATGAGTACATTTTCTTAAAACGACAATTAATTAAAAACACCAAAATCTAAAACTTCCTCTAATTAAATAATTAAATAAAATAATTTAATTAAATAATTAATACAAGAAGAATCAAAACCATCACTAAAATTACCAGAAACTAAAACACAAAATACCATCAGTAATCGCATCCACTATTTAAAATCAACAAAACCAATAAAAACAAAAATAGTCACAATTTAGAAATTACATTTTTACACCAAATATTCACAAATTTAAATAAGACACTAAATTTTTTTTTTACCTCAGAATAAAGAATAACGAAATTTTTTGATATAATTATATATATATTCTTGATGAGTATAAACGATGTATACGTTTATGAGTTTGAATGTTGACTGGACCGAAAAGACCTCATGTCTCGTGAGAGGTGTGATTGAAACCAAAAAAAATCTTACCTGAGGCAAACTTCTCGAGTGGAGAGGGGGACAGGTATAAAAAAAGGGTTTCCTGAACCCTTTCCACCCCTTTTATCTTTACGCAATACCTTATTCATTGATTTATGCACATATGCATGTTTTACCTTTTTAACTATATACACACATCAATAAAACTTATGTATACGTGTGTCTACCTGGGATGCAAAAAAAAAACCCTTTTCTCCTCTTTCATTTATACAATGCAACTTCGCATTCTGTTCCAGTTCTTTATCAAACTTAAAAAAAGAACTGTGTCAATATTTCAGTATTATAATTATTGTAATATTAAAATTTTTCACATTTTCCTATTGTAGAAAATAAAAATTATTTTGTACATTTAATTAAATTAAACTTTATTTCTATAAAAGATTTTTTAAAAAGTTTTTAATAATTTCATAAAAAATAATAATTTATGCAGAAAACTCATTTAATTTTTTTTTTGTAAGAAAAAGGTTTTTATATTTTTCAAGAGGGGAAAAAAGAATTTTCTTTGTGTGAGACTGGGATGCAAATGTATAATCCAAGAGTGTGTGTGTGTGTGTGTGTGTGTGTGTGTGTGTGTGTGTATTTATATAAGGAAGCAGAGTAAAAGAAAATATCGAGGGTAAAAAAAAAATAATTTAATTTATATCTGCCCTGCTGTGAGGGCAAGTTCCTGGGATGAAACTTCAGTTAAAGGGTTGTACTTTGCGTTAGGCCACAGATGATGTAGTTTCCAATTACCTGAGTGAGAGGCGAAACTAATTCACGCTTTAGCCACCTGGAGTCATGTCTCGAAATTCTATACGGCTGTATTAGTCAAAATTATCAATAAACTAATCAATTTTGAAGAAATATTACAATTTTTTATCGTCCAATCTTTATTCTTTATTGTTTAAAACATATAAATAAAAAAACAGATTTAATATTATTATTTATTTTTTATTATTTATTCATAGTCCACACCTTTCGGTTTCGGACGAACTTCCGGTTTACATCTTTCTATTCTTATATACTATAAACTAAACTATAAAAGTGATTCGAACTTTATTAAATATAAAAATAAAACTCACTTATCAGTCTTTATTTCTCTTTTTCCAACACTATATTTCTCTTTTTTTCTATTCTTTTCATTATTTCCAATCCTTGCCCATTTTCCCCCAGCACTTCTTTTACATCTTCATTCAACAGATTTAATATATGGATTGAATTAAAATTGTCATAAAAAATTTAGATACATGAATATTAGGCAAAATAATTATTTGGCCTAACAAGAATTAGGTTAAATAAATATTAAGCTGTATAAGAATTAAATTAAATAAAAATGTAATATAAAAATTTAGACAAAATGATTATTAGGCCAAATAAGAATGAAGTTAAATATCAAGCTAAAGTATTATTATCAATTATAAAAATTATTAAGCTAAATAAGAATTAAATTAAACTGTCATATAAAAAATTTAGACGAATGACAAAATAATTATTAGGCGAATATAGAATCAAGTTAAAATAAAGATTAGACGAAATAAAAATTAACTAAAGTTTTAGCCAAATAAGCTTAATTGACTTTAGGCGAAATATTTATTCAAAGAAGCGAAATCGATATTCGCTAAAAATACTCGAAAAAAAACTTGACACAAAAAAGAAAAGAAGAAAGATAACAAATCCTGTCTAAGGGCACTTGATCCTTTATATATATTTTCCCCTTTTTACTAGAAAAAAAAATCACGTAATCCTGTCACTTATTTTCTGCTTGCATAGGTACCTGTAATGAGTAACCTGCATCCCCCATTGCAAATGATGGCAAGTCGAGTATACCCTTGTGCGTAGGGTGGATTACGTGCTTTTTAACAAAAAAAAAAAAAAAAAAAAAATCATACAAAAAGGGTCAAGGGCGGTTTTGGGTGAAAAAATCTGAAAACCGACACCAAAACAGGGCGAACAGCGAGAAATTGGCTACAAAGAGCACAAACAGCGTCACTATAAAATGGCGATATCTGATTTACAGGTCACCCTACAAAACACACATATACACATATCCTTTTTTTTCCCTAAGGCAATCCGCTCGATTATCTGCTTGACAGGTGTCAACCTGTAAATTCTAATACATTACTTAATTTTCTTTTTTTTTGTCGTGAAAACAAAAATAATCCGCTTTAATAACTTTTATTCCAAAAGGTATTTCGAAATTAGTTTCTGGTTAATTCGTACTGAGGGAAAAAATCCGATGTTTGCTATCACATCTATCAAAATTAGTAACCACAGCTAAATTCTTTGCTATGACAACGAAAAAGTTTGCTATGGTAAACAATATCAGTCTTAATTTTTAAAAATTTACCAAAATTTTTTGACCCCACAGAAAAATTTGTTTGCTGTCCCTATATCAGCTAACGTAATTTAATGTGACAGTAAATAATTCGCTGTCATAGCAAATTTTTTCTATACGTGTAATTAGTAATGTAAAGGTTGAAAAAATGCTCTACCTGTTTTTAAATTAGTAAAATTTAACTACACGCATAGAAAAAGTTTGCTGTAGCAGTGAACTATTTGCTGTAACATCAAATTACATTAGCTAATGTTGGAACAGCGAATAAATTTGCTGTGGGGTCAAAAAAGGTTGGTAAATTTTTAAAAATTAAAACTGATATTGTTTGTCACAGCAAACTTTTTCGTTGTCATAGCAAAAAATTTAGCTGTGGTTACTAATTTTGATAGATCCGATAGCAAACATTAGTTAGCAATTCCTTTTTTTCCGTGTAATAGTAAAAAAATATTACTATCGAATTTTTAAAATTTAACTAATAGTAAAAAAAATTTACTATCGAATTAGTAAAATTTAACTAATTCAAAAGCAAAAAGTGAGTCACTAATTAAAATTACTCTGTAAATCTGAATTAGTAAAAAAGTTTACTAATTTGAATTAGTGACTTACTTTTTGCTTCTCAATTAGTAAAATTTTACTAATTATTAGTAACTTTTACTAACATTTAGTAAAATTTAACTAATTCTAAAGCAAAAAGTGAGTCACTAATTTAAATTAGTAAACATTTTTACTAATTCACATTTAGAGAGTAGTTAAAAATTTGTATTAATTCAAATTTAGAGATTACAAATAAAATGGTTACTAATTAATTTAATGAACGTTATTGAATTAATAAAAAATGACTAATTTAGAGAATAAAAACCAAATTATAATATTCCTAACAAGAAAGTTAATTACACAGCTAAATCATGTAAATTAGATCAAGAAAGATGTGTATGCCTGATGACCCTCCTCAGCTTTGCGATAGCATCCGATTTTGACCTTTTATTGCGGCCAATTTCACACTCAACTCTGTGAGGTACTTGAAGGGTGCGAGAATAAAATATTTGAATGTAAACTCACCCTGAAATTCTCGAAACGTTTTGAATGCCTTATCTCGGGCATATCTCTAGAACCCTTGAGTCAGCATGAACGCGTATGTGAATTATCAAAAATCTTTCATCAACAAAGTATAACTTATAACTGATCCTGATCTTCGATTCAAATAAACTCCAAAGAAAAAAAAAAAGAAACATTCCCGCATATAAATTCTGATTCTTTTATACATAAAACCAAATATATACAGAAATAGTAAATAACTTTTTAAAAAACACATTTTAGTCAATTTTCCTTATAGAAAGGGAGAGAAAAAAAAGCATAAAATCTTTCAAAAAAAAAAAAAAATCCAATTACAACCAAAAATAATTGATTCAATCTCCAAAAGAAGGTTTTCTATCGCGAAAAAAAAGCCGCGGGTAACCGAAAATGCGGATCGACAGTTCGGCGCTTCCCTAATCCTTTTCACAATTTTTTAACCCCATCTGTCGCATTCGGCGCATCCCTCATATTGAAATACTTATATACCAGTCACGTACAGTATATATGCGACCTACTTCTAAAAAAGAAAAATTCGAAGGACCTTACACGAAAAAAAAAATCCCATCAACCCCTTGGAAGTGTTACCACTGATCTTTTCTCCCTCCCTCCCCCCTTTTTTTCTGTTTCTCTCTTTTACTTTGATGCAAGAAGTCTTTTTGATTTTATATACATATATATATATATATATATACCTGGCACTCGCATCGAACCCAAAGGATAATCCATTAACATAATTTTACATGGAGAGGCTTTATTTACCGCGGATGGATAGCGTATAGAGAAAAAAAAAGAAGAAAGAGGGGAGGATCCCGAGGACATTACACATCATATAGCGGAAGCCAGATGCAAAAAAGGATTGAGGGAAATAATGGAAAGCAGACAGATCATTGTATACAGAAGGGTTTAATTCAAATATTTAAAATTTCCCGAGCATATTTTTGCGTAACGGTTCCCCACCACCAAACACCCTCCTCGATTTTTTTTCTACCTGGTGTTCAATAAATATTAGGTTTTAATTTTTTTTTTTTCTATATTCAGTGACTTTCTAAAAAAATTTACATTTTTTATCAAATTAAAAAATATTTTTCCAAATTTTTTTTGTAACACGAATTTTTCATTCAGAGAAGAATTTTATTCATTATTATTAGGATACCTTTTTACTATTATTTTTATTATTATTATTATTGTTAATATTTTTTTTTCATAAAAAGTTAAAAACTAATAAACCATATAATTAAAATGAATTTTAATTTTATGTTATAATTGTTCAATATAATTTAAAAACTTGTTGAAAAATTTAATTAATTTTTTAAAATTTTAATTCTTTAATGTACTAAAAGTCTAACTAATAATTACGTTATTGATTTTTAATTTATTTATTATTTTACTTTATTTTAACAAGAATTTTAGTAGAAATATTACTATTTGAATCAAAAGTTATTTTTTTTATTTTGATTATTATTAATTTATTATTTAATTAATTACTTATTTATTTTTTTATTTATTTATAGTAGTTGATTAATTCAAATTTACAGAGCAAACATCCAAAGTCACACCCAG